CCAAAGCGCAGGTGTGTGTGTGTGTGTGTGTGTGTGTGTGTGTGTGTGTGTGTGTGTGTGTGTGTGTGTGTGTGTGTGTGTGTGTGTGTAAGAAATTGTTGTTTAGCATTTGTGGCTGCCGTGATCAGCAAGTGACAGCAGAGATGAAAAGTGTCTTCAGTCCTAGGCGAGATATATATTACATTTATCCATGTGTGTGTGTGTGTGTGTGTGTGTGTGTGTGTGTGTGTGTGTGTGTGTGTGTGTGTGTGTGTGTGTGTGTGTGTGTGTGTGTGTGTGTGTGTGAGTTGTGACAGCAAGCTACTGATGAGGTGTGCATGCCAGATATGTGATCAACTTGTCACGGAGAGGTGTGAAATATACGCTTCATTTGTGTATCAGTGTGTACATACGTTTGTGTGTGAGTGTGTCTATATATGATGTTTACACCTATAAAAATCCAGTAATGATATTTTTCAGTGTTTTTTTTATTTTGTTTGGATTGCTAATTTAATAGGGATTTATAGTGTCTTTCATCCTGAATGTCATGAACCAGCTCTCTCTCTCAACTGTCTTCTTTCAAGACAAGATAGAGGAAAAAAGAGTGTGAATGTACAGCATGTATAAATATACATGTATGTAGCATGCATTCATCTATTTCTATTTGCCAGCCTAAGGGGGACGTCATGCAGAGATTACCGTGCAATCAGATCTCGGACATTTACACAAATAATTACACGCTAACACACACATAATATGTTTATCTAATACAAACATGCATAGACTCTGACTGAAAAACAATTAAAGTACATTTTTAAATCTGCATTGACATTTAAACATATTAAAAATGTATGCCCTGGTAGGTTTCAAACTGATAAATAGTAGTTGGGCTGTTTCTAACACATGTATTCCCTCTAAATTACCGTTACCGCAGCATCCGGACTAAAACCACCAGATTCAGAGACAGTTTCATCCCACAGGCAATAAGACTGTTAAACATCTGAACTGCTACAACATCCATAACATTCATGCTACTTAGTAATTATTTATCTATTTCCTAATATATCATTAAAATAGCTTGCATAAGGCTATAGACTCTTATTTCACTTTTTGCAGTTACTTTTAATATGTAATATTTACTTGCACTATATTTATGTTTTTCTGTAATATTGTGTTGCACTGTTGGAGAAGCCTGTGACTTAAGAATTTCATCGATATAACTACTCTGTAGCTATGGTTGTATGACTAATAAAGAACCTTACATTCTCAAAGACAACTCTCAATGTAAGTGGTCACTGGATAAGTCTTAAACACTGCATCTCACAAACTCACTTAATTTCCAGTTAATCTTCAAAACATGCTTTGGCAGTTTGATTCAACAGCATGGGCTATTTTCTGTGGCTGGTATTGCAGGACAGCTGCCTTGTTTTTCTAGCTGGAAACAAAGACTAATGACAGTTATCCAACTTCATGTTCGAAGGGTTCCTGTTGAAGTGCAGACCTGTCAATAATCTTCTGTTTAGGCTACTTGAAATGACACTTGGAAAAAAATACTAAAATGTCATTTGTCGAGAAAGCTAGTTAAAAGAAATTGATTCAAATTGATGGTTGAGGGTTGGCATGAAAAGACTAGAACAGACCTGTTTACTTCAGGGATACTGGATTTATTCTGAATCAGCTCAATGATTCTCTGTGACACAAAGATTTATATTTAAGCATATTCTTACATTTCATGTTTAAAACTGCTTTGTTAATGAAGCATCTCAACACTCATCATATTTTGTGCTGTTTTTGTATTTGTGACAGTCAAAGTATAGGAGGTTTTTAATCAGTTCACAATTTCTTTGCATGCTCAAAATACCATAATCCCTATTTAAAATCACATAGGAAGTAAAAGTTAAGTGTATTTTGTGAGTTTGTGTACCTTGCAGCTACACTTCCCCGTCCGATCGGCGCAGGCGCACACGTCCCTCTCCAGGTCGCAGGTCTGGCTGTCCGACCCGGCGACGTCACACTCGCACTGGGTGCACTGTGGGAAACACGCAGACACGCCAAGATGCTGTTATCAACAACACAACAGGCTGAGAGAGAGGAACCAGCGCAGTGTGTCCAAGCTTTTATGCTTCACCAAACCATTAAACTTCACTCCAAAATGAACATGTTTCCATTATTTTCTCACTTCTGTGTCAGTGGAAACATCACTGAAGTTCAGACAAACACCAAACACAGAGTAAGACTTAGTTTCCCATTAGACTGAAGCTTAAGAGATCCAAAAAGTGTAAGAAAGTTTATATATCTCAACAGGGATTCCTCGAATAGAGAAAATAAATTAAGCAAATATACAAAATGAAATTGAACTGCTATTGTAGGAATGCACTTTTTAAAGTCTAATGAAAGAAATTCCGTTATTTTTAAACTCGTTCATATTATATGGAAGTATATGTATTGCACAGAATGGTGTTCATCTTTCAAGTGAGGAACCATTGGTGATGAAATATAAACAGTAAAGAGAAGAAATAAAAACTATAATAATAGCAATATCATGTCTATGAAAATCTCTCTTCCTTCTCCTAGTAGAGCCACAGGAATACGAGCTTATCTCAAGTGCCTCCTCTCTTATCTAAATAAAATGAAAGAAGCTTTATCATAATGATAGTAATACTTGCGGTTCATTCAGATCAATTACCTGAGGAAAGTCTCTGTATCCAATTTGACATTCAATGCACTTCTCTCCTCTGAAGGCGTCTCGACACATGCAGCAGCCTGTGTTCATGTTGCACTGCTGCGTTACCGCGCCGACCACGCTGCAGCCGCACGCCTGCACACACACACATACACACACAGATAATTAGTGTTGCATCTATGAGTCACAATGATATGAACTTTTTCCAGATGCTCTGTTTTGTGACAACCCAGAGATTGTCCAATCTGAGGTGTGTTTCTTTTTATTGATACGAGTTGTTTTTCAGAGTGCATGGAAGCAGAGTCAGGGCGTCGTTACTGCAGATCGTGGCCCATATGTGTTTGATTTTTATGTTTAAGGATAGCCGTGTCCAAACTGGGAACATGGGAATGTTCATGTACAGAAAGCATAAATGGAGTAAGAATGCTGACTCTAAAAGCCCCCACCTGATTACACCGACGTGACGTGGTGGTATAACATTCTTATCAAATCCAATGCATACAAATATTGGACGTTATTGCAATTGATAAATGTCTTGATCAAAGATGAAAACATCTTATAAAAACTGATCATTCCTTCCCTGCCAGGCAAAAGCTGCACTATTACACACTGATAAGTTGTAAATGCCTTGTTTGTGAAATGATAACCACTGTGGTATAAATAAAGTTTTATATAATAAGTGTTTTATATGATTATAACAGCAGAGTGTCCACAACCAAAGGTGATTTTAAACCAGTGTTTATGTTGGTTTAGCGAGTGTAAAATATAATGTATATGTAATTTTGAATGAGTTAAAATGTAAGTATGTATCTATTGGTATCTATGCTTATTTATTTGTTGTACTTCACTGTTTGTTAGGGAATCATTTGCCTAGGTATTCAACCTTCGACACCGTTCATCATTTTCTCCTCTCACTGTCTCTTGTCCCGTGGCATAGGTCTACGGCCTTGGGTATTGCTGCTATCTCTCTTAAGGAGGAGCAGCTTGGGTGCATTGTTGTTGCCAGTCTATGACAGAGCACAAGCCGCCATGAGGTCGTTTACTGTTCAGGGACGTAGGTTCCCTGGCGCACATTATTTTCTATGGACGAGAGCTCTAGTTAGATTCAGGGTCCATAATTGTTTAGTCTCACTGATAAAGAATGTTGATTATTACACTCCGAACTAGTTAAAAACTCGAGCTGCAGAAGAGTTCTTCAGAATTGGTTTGGCAACCGCTGTGTCAACTCGTGACACACCACCTGTCTCGTAAATTCTCCGGCCGTAACTCCAAATAAACCGTCAGTGTTTGCCATCAAAGCTCCAGCTCTCCTCGTGTCTCTCTGAGTCCTGACTCTCCATTGCTACAGAAGTTTCCCCCACACTGTTGTTAGTCGGTACCTCTCTGCCTTGTCGTGTTTTCTGTTGTATTTGGTGCTTTTTTTGTTTTGTTTAAAACAACTAAGATCCACAGCATCCCTCTTTGTTGTCTTGATGTTCCCTTCTGGATCAATCTGCTGTTAAACTGATATTTCCTGTGCTTCCATGTTCAAGCCTCTAATTGCTATTACTCTATTGCTACTTCTAATAGTTCATTGATACTGCTGCCTCACGGCCCTTTGTGGAGATAGCTTCAGAGCAGGACAATGACTCTTTAAACACTTGGAACAAAGTTGTGTTAAGAAACAGAGAAGTAGAGGAAATGGGAATGTAGAGTCACTGAAAGAGATGTGATAAAGAATAGGGAAGAAGGATAAATGGCTTTTTAAACAAGCAATGTGATAATGAGAACTGGAGGAAAGGGGTTAGAATAGAGAGGAGGAAGGAAAATAAGAATAGGAGAAAAAAGGGAATTCAACTAAAAATGAGAGAAGACTAAGAAGATTATACTTTAAGGTTAACCAGCTGAAATATAAAAAAGGCAAACTAGAATAAGAGTTATTGAAGTGAAAATTGTGACTGGAACTAGAAAACGTTACGTGGTTTTCTTTGATTATATATGTATTCACTTATAAGAGTTAATACGGACAATTATGTTTAATTGAGTACGCCCAAACTGTTAAACATATATAAGCACTGTTCGAAATGGGGAGGAGCCAGGGGGAGCTAGGCAATTTTTTTTTGCATATTTGTGTCACACAGATTAGAAATGTTGAGTTCCTGTAAATAAAAGTTTTTGAAATAAATAATAGTCATTGTTCATTACAGTTTGATTGTTTTATATTTGTGAATATTTCTGGGTTTTGCCATCTGTACGTGGCGTTGCTGCATTCTTTATGCTACTTACATTGCTATGGTTACGGCGGCGATGCCGGCGCGGTATTTAAAATGTTCATATTGATATATTTTTTAACTCTGGCTTTGTAATAAAAAATATGGCGAAACGAAAACAGCCAAGCCTCGCAGCTTTTGACGTGAACGGAACAGCTTTTAGTTGGCCGGCTGTAAGCGGCGTTAAGGTCGAGTTTGACAGCTCCACACAGAAGGCCCTGAAAAAAACAATAGGGCTCCCCCGAAAGCAAATGGGTAATTCGAACACTGCCTATACATAATCCTTCCGTGGACTTGAGCCGGGAGTCCTCAGGTTTCCAAGCCAAGTACTATGGGTTAGCCTTTACAAAAGACTGTGATCATGGTTAAAAGATACTGTAGTTAACTCAGACTTTGCGTCCCCAAAATATGTTATGAGGTTGTTTTACCGAAACATGTTATATTGTTCATTTTAAGCAGTTGAACAATTCATTCAGCTGTCGTTTCTGGAGTTTCCAGTACTTTCATGTGGCAAAAAGGCACGATAGCAAAAGAGCAAGCAGAGTACTGACGGCTAAAAAACTACCCGATAAAAAGGATGCGCTGAATGCCTGCAGAAAGAAGAGTATGCCAATTATTGTGGTAGTCGTGTGTCTGAACCAGCTTGCAGATGTCGCCTAATATCATGTAGTTAGATAAGAGTTTCCAGAAAGTTGGTGAGAAGTGGGTGTGTAGAATTGAAATGCAGCGTGGGGAAAGATGTTTTGGGTTTTAAATTATAGGGATATTACCACTCTGCCCTCTTCAGAAAAATGATGAGATGGTATCAGGTGGCAGTGTTTCCCACTTAGAAGTATTAAAAGTTGAGATATAAAAACTCTCATAGGGAGGAAGCACTTGCACAGACATAAAACGCACACCCTGAGGAAGGTTTGCTAAAATGTCAGCTTTGATAAGAAGAACGCCTTCTGTTCTCACGGAACATGAGCTTCTTTCTTTCGGTTCTGTATGTGCCAGGTTTATATTTAAATATATGCAAAGATCATAGAGTTAAATTAATATTTGTTAGAAGCCTGCTCCCATGTGTTTTAATATCCTTGTGTTCCATCCACAGTCTGTTAAATTAAGCTCAACCAATGAGGGCAGTGGCGTGTGTTTGAGGGGTAATCGAGCATACTTTACAGAAATTGGTGCCTTACTAATTTAATGGAAACACTATGAACAGACCGCTCAAGTTTGTTACATAACATGAGCATGTATGGATGGACGCATTTGCGAACGATGCTGAAACAGGAACTCTACCATTACGCAAGCCATCTGCTTCAGATTTCAGATCCTCAGAATACATTTCAGTTTATGAATTTAACTATCCTCTTCAGCTGCTCAATTTGCTGTCGTCAGTCTGTCTCTCTTCAACCACCTTTTCATCACTGTCTCACCTCTGTCTCTCCTTCCCTTCTCACCCTTCCCTGCCTCTCTCTTTCTCTCAATGGCTATCATCCCACTCTCTCTGCCTGCTTGTCGTCAACACTCTCTTCACCTCTCTCCCTCTCTGCACCACTTCACACTTTAAATCTGTATGGCCCATGGTTTCGTGTCGATTAACAATCATATGGCTGAGTTTATGCACAAGTCATGGCATTAAGTGTTAAGATGTGCATTCCACTGATCTACTCTGCAAGATAACATTTACTCAGCTTTTACAGAACGTAGGTTTCGGAAGTGGCAGAAAAGAAGTTTATATAGGCATAATTTCATAAATGTACCCGTGTTACCTTTAAGTCAATTATTTCTCAACATTAACTCTACTCGTTGCTTTTACTAAAGTGACTTCATTCAAACACTTAATTCAAACACTCTCCTAATAACAGAGAGAAATGGAACAGAGAGGGACATGGAGAGCAGATAAAGAGAGGAAAAACACAGAATAGGGTGATGAAAGAACAACCGCAAGCATACGAAGATAGAGGTTTTCAAAATGGACGTTGAAAAAGTATGCGCTGCATTTGCTAGATAACTGATTCTTAGTTATTACTCAGAAAGTGTTATGCACTACTACACACACACACACACACACACACACACACACACACACACACACACACACACACACACACACACACACACACACACACACACACACACACACACACACACACTGGGACTTGCTGTTTAAAATTAAGATTTTTGAAACCTAGAAAGACCTTTGAACACATATTTGCACTGATGATCATACACAGATTTTTTTTCGTTTGAAGGTCACCCATTATGCAAAATCCACGTTTTCATGTCTTTTAGACATTAACATGTGTCCCCTCTGTGTAAAGAGATTCTGAAAGTTTCAGGAAAAAAGATTCGCTCACTTTTTTTTCCTGATCCATTTATATAAAAACCTGAATGTCTGAATGAGCTGATCAGATTTTGCCCACTTTATGATGTCATAACGATGTTTTGGCTTGTGTAACCATTAGCCAATCACCAACCAA